ATGTTGGGACAAGATGATCACCTTCATCCCAACCATCACTACACATCAGTGCTATGAGAACTACAAGTAGAATGGAAAAGAGCATCAAAAGCATTTTGGAACCTTTCTTCCAACGGCTGACCTCGTTGCTAGACTTCAGAATTTCAGTTTTCCCAACGGAAACTACCTCATGAGACACTAGCAGATCACCATCAACAGGACTATCATTTGTTGATGATACAGATTCAGAGACACCTTCATAATGCTCACCATCATTACATAAACTTTCCTTCCCATTAACCTCATGCATCAGATCATGTTGAAAACCATTTTGCCTTTGGGATGGGTGGGATCGGAATCTTCCAGAGGATGGACTTCTGAACCTCCTCGTTTGCTTTTCAGAGAACTCTGAGTTAACAATATTAGGGTCCTGAAGTGAGTGAATTAGCTTCCTTCAAGTGCAAACGATATTAATGTCATCAACGTTAATGTGACATCGTGACCTCTGAAAAACATGATGAGCAACCAAATCAATACCAGGAAATTGTATTGCAGTACAATTTTGTAGCCGTAGTTGGCACAATATAAAGAAATAAATTTGAGTAGCAATCGGGGAGGAAAAATTTATCTGCTTGCGTTGCTATCCTAAAATTGGCAAACTGGACCTTTTAGAAACTCTAGTTAAGTACTTGATGCAATTATCACGAGTTAAACCAAATACACACACAAGTAAAAATCAATTATGTCTAGAATGCTGACAGTACAAGCTACACCCATTTGCATAAAATCCCATATCAACGCTTGAGTATATACTAATAAGAAATTTCAAGAGAAAATACTGGCCAGAGAAAAAAGGGGGTGAGTACAACTTTACCTGAGGACTGGGGGTGGTACTTCTCAGACGTCCATTTCTTGGACTTCTCAGACGTCCATTTCTTGGACTTCTCTGCAAGAACCCTGAAAATTCATCTGTATTTTCTTCTCCATTGCCAGTAAGTTCATGATGCTCAGAAGGTGAGTCACAGATAGGAATACCACCAGTTACCTCAGAGAACAAATCATCCCCGAGGGATACATCAACTCCATTTTCGTAACTCCAGAGCTTCCGGTTCACACTCCTATGGTCATATCCCATGTCATGAGAAACCTGAGTGGTTGAAACTGGTGACTCAACAAAAGAATCATATTCACCAAAAGAATCAACAGTATGTGATTCAGGTGACACAGATGCAGGAGACCTATCACCAGAATTCAGCAAGCTTCTCCTTCTACTATGTTCTCTCCTACTAAAATTGGACCCTGTACCTGACCCACAACGATTCTCAATTTTTGACCCTATCTCATGAGCTATTTTTTTCGCAGTTTGCTCAGCTTCATAAGCAGCCCCTTTAATGAAACCCATCTGATCAGATTGACACTTCTGCATCTCTTCAATTATCAACTCCACTTCTGAGAATACGCTCCTGGAATCAAGACATTTCATCAAGAAATTTATCATTTGAATTGCTGAAAATCCTTTCTGAGAATTACCTTCTGAAAGGCCAGCATTTAATATTCTCAACCCAGAATTTATCAACAATCTTGCATATGGTTCAACTATTAGAGGATTATGCTGTCCCAGAGCCATAACCAGACCCATGTGAGCATTTGTCTGAGTAGACTTCTCCTCCAGAGCCGCAGCCACATTTTGACAAACCTTGTTAACCATCTCATTTGAAGCAAACCGCCAATTATCACATTCCACAAGGGCCCTCAAGCAAAGAGCAGACCCTGAAGTTAGGCTTTCTTGAGATCCTAGGAGAGAATCTGAAAGAGGCTTGCAGAGAGAGTGAATTATGTGCCTCTTCTTATCTTCTGGCATGGTTGGATCAATTCCATATCTTGCAATTGCAGGGACCACCTTTGAGCATGCCTGTTGAAGAGGAAAAGAACCTGCACTTGAAGCTAGTGTCTTGATAATGGTTGACATAATGATGTCAATCTGAGGAACAATCTTTACACCATGGAAACAAGCAAGAACCTCATAGAGTGAAATGGTGTATTCCCCAGATAAGGATCCAGTTTCTTTGGTCTCAGATACCTGTGCAAGGAAGATTGGTATTGCTTTTGAATCTAGGTCTTTCACGTATGATTTCAGAGCTCTCATTGCTGATTTACGACTATTAGCATCTTTGTCAAGATTTTCCAGCTCTCGCCGAAGTATTGGACTAAGATTTCTACCCATCTTTCACCTGAAACCACTCAACAAGATAAGCCATTCTGCTTAGTTAAAACTGAAATCATGGAAGCCTTTCATAAATCTAAGAATGGAGCACAAACAGTACACCTTTAGTAATTTTTCAAAAGATGCTAGCCTTATTTCATCTACAAAGGACCATTTTTGGGAATGAAAATCAATTAATGTCGAATTTAAGAAAATTGAACCGAAAAACTTGCCTAAAATCTTAGTTGATAGATGAACTAATTTACTCTTCAGTTGAGTGTCATCACATAAGGAAACCATGCACATACTAGCTCAAGAGCCATAATACTTGAAAGAAAAATCTAAGAGAATAGAGCTTGAAACATTCTTAGATAGAGGGTTGTTCATTCAAACTTCTTTATATTCAATAGGCTTCAACATTTCTTGCCCATTCACAAAGGGGCAAAGCATGCAAGGCAATGTTTCACGTAGACTCTATGCGTGTAATCACACATGCAACTAGTTTCCATTTTCTTTGCATCTAGGGTACTCATAATGGGTACCCAAGTTAGCCAACATCTCCCATTTACAAATGATGGGTTTGACCCTCTCATGTAGAATAGTTAATGGCTTTATAAAGTATTTCACATGCATTCTCTTAGTTAGAAGAATTCTTGAAGCATACAAAAGTGGTCGTGTGACTGAAAAGCATCATAGTAATCTTTCAACGAGCTTGATACTATGTCTACCAATCATCTCAGTTATGTGATAATTATATACTTGTATCCTAAATTCATTTTTATAAGAACAATCACGTAATCCCCCAAGGCTATGTTTAACTATCTCTACTCTATCATGTATTTACAAATTACAATCAAGTTATCTTTTAACGAATTTGAGTGGGGTTGAGGATGCAAGAATTCTCTTACTTCCCTTATTGGTCAATTAGCACCACCCATGATACGTGTGCTACAATGCTTTTCTTCATAGGAGCACAAGTCTTTTCTTTTTTTTTTTTGGTAGAAGGAGCACAAGTCTTTTCTAACTTCCCTTCTTTGGCGTTTAACCTAAGTCTCCTAACAAGAGCACACTAGGGCTCAAATTCAAATTTTTCCTAGCTAACATGACCGAGGGGAGATCATGTGCAATCTAGTCTACATGTCATACATGTATCTCATAGATGTTATCTTGATCACTATAAAGGGGACATTGGGCAGTCATTGGTTTCTCTTGCACATAATAATCTTACCTCACAGCATTTTCAAAATGCTTCACACAATTGCCATGTGACGGTGAGAGAGAAATGCAACAAACACTTTATGAAGCAGTTACTATTTTATGCAAGAGAGCCAAACTCATCATTAAAAGTGAGAGATGCTACCAAACTTGGGCACCTTGTGATGGTTGACCTTGATGCAAAGAAAATGAAAATTAATTGCATTTATGATTATGGTTATAGGGTCACATAGAATTGTCTTCAAAGATAAGATTGGTTACAATCAGTTGGTAAAAGCAAAGTCCATTCTCCACACTCTGCCAGTTCGAGAATGCACAATAGATGTTAAAGGCTCCTGGATATAAAAGGGTCAGAGTGAAAAAACAATGAGAATCCACCCTCTCCAAGAAAGTTTCAAGCTCTTTTCTCTTAATTTTTTTTCTTTCAAGAATTCCAGAAGGCTCTTTCATTGTGGTATGTGGGTGTTTTCCATATGTAATTAAACTCCTAATTGAAGAGCATATTACTTCATCTGTTACAAAGAGTCCAAGGAAGTTTTTTGGTTATTTATTTCTTAAATTCAAAATTAAATAATTTTAATTCCTATAGATTTATGATAAGTTTGGCCACCGAAAAATACCCTGATTCAAAGCTGTAGTCACCAAGAAAAAGACAACAGAAATCTAACCCTCGTATTTAAAGAATCAATTGAATAAGACTTCTTCAATCCCAAAACTTTAAGCTAAGAATTTGAGCTCCATAACTTTTGCATGTGCTTCTAAGCAATCAGACCAAAGAATAAACCTCCCCTGGAAGCACTACATGATATAGGCTGAATCACAAAACAAGAACACATAAATAGCAGTTTGGGTGTTTTTATTTCACTTTAAAATGTCTAGCTCAATAAAATCCGAAACAATGAAATTTATCCAAAAGAAAAAAAAAATCCCAGAATCCTACAGAATTCATTCAAGTCTAGGATGAAATTCAGACTCAGAGAAAAGACTGCTCTATCAGTAAGATCACATAACAAGAACACAAATCAAAAAAATGGGTACCTCAGATTTCTACCTAAAACAAACAAACAAGAACTAAATACCCACTAAGTAAAAGATTCCATAAACCAAAAACTTACCTTTCAGAGACCCCTCTCTCTCTCACTTCCCTTCTTGCTCTGGCGCCGCCAAGTTCTTATCTTTTTCAATTCCTAAAAAGAGAAAAAAAAAAAAAAACCAGTGAAACAGAGTAATCTCTTAGATTCAAAAACCCTTGCTAATTCTGGATACTTTCGTTGAAGAAAAACTTTGCGTCATAGGTTGGTGCAGTGGACGTGATGTGAGATGGGGTTATCGGTTTTTTTCTTGGTATATTCTTACAGTGGATTTTGATTTTTTTTTTTTTTGGGGCATAATAAATAGCGGATCCGGGTTTCGCGTTTGTCTGATTCTGTTTAGAGAATTTCGATTTCGCTTTTACGTCGCAATTCAAATCTTTCCTCCAAATCCCACCGCTATCCCTCTTCGTGGACCACTGTCAAAATTTGTTCTAAATCAAGTTT